TTACCCAGAGGGTCCCTGGACTAAGATGGGGACATTCTTCTTTTGAGGGAGGTCAGAAAATATCTTTCAATTATGAGACACTTGTGTTACCAGAATCCAATCTATAGTGTGTAGATCCAATCCTAGCTCCCCAACTAACTGTGTGAGCTTGCACAAGTTCCTTAACTTTGCTCATTTCCTTATCTGTAAAATAGTGATTAAAATCACACCTACCTCACAAGGGTTGTTGTGAAGATTAAACAAGAGAATCTATAAGACACGCTATCACAGGTCCTAGAATATATTCAGCGCCCAATAACTCACCTATAATCTTTGTTTCAGAGTAAAGACATATAGCAGAATAATACACATTTAACATTTGATTGTGCTAATGAAAGCAAGCAGTAGATTCAACAATCTAGAATAGAGACAGCTAGTCATTTTAATTTGGCCTTACATTATTATTACCAATGTGTTTATTTTCCTAGTTAAGTTTTTATTTAGGCAGTAGCTTTTGAGCAGTTTTCACTGATTTCCCAGAGTTTCTTTGTCTTCCCTCAGACCACCACCCATGCCTCAGCCTAAGAAGCTCTGCATTGATCTGTTTTACATTTCGGCTTCTAAACACGTCTTCCCTAAAGAAAGAATTCTTCAGCTAACACAGGTTTTAGATACTTTGCAAATCCAGTGTATCTTGTGGGGATAAGGAGGCCTAAGAGTGTTACTATATTCAGTGTGACAGAGAGACTGATTAAAACTTGCTAGGATTATTGAGATTTGTCTGATTATATTACCTAGGCAGTGTGTACTTTCCTCCCAGGGGCATAAGCCTAGAAAAAATTTAAAAAAAAAACAACCAATTACTCCTTCTTCCCTCAAATTTCCATTTCTCAAGTACAGTGTTCCATCTAACAAGATCTGCTGTTTTGCCACATCCTTGCATGGTTTTTCCTGCCTCTCTCCAGCCTCTACTTTCCACCTTCAATTGACACTGTAAGGAAGCCTGGAGCACAGATGCTCGGAATAGTCTCCATGG